CAGAAGCTGTCAGTAGTATCCAGCTCAAAAGAGAAGAACCAGAAGGCTGGTCAGGACCTTGCAAAAGCCCAACTCAGGGTCATGGGTAGTGGCCTCTACTTCAGTTTGGTGTTGTTGTTATTAGTGGTTGGTAAGTGGATTCCAACTCATGGAAACCCCACGTATACAGAATAGAATTGCTCCATATGGTTTTTGATGCTGTGACTTTTTGGAAGCAGATTCCCAGGACTGTCTTCTGAGGCACCTCTGGGTGGGTTTGAGCTACCAGCATTTTGTCTACTAGTCAAATGCATAACTGTTTGCACAACCAGGGACTCCATTTTTAGGCAAGGAGGGGGAAAAGAGAGTGTCAGGAACAGCATTTTATTTTTCTCCCTGCGCTTGATGCTCCTTCTTCCAAACAGAGGAAGAACTGTGATAGGCTGTGTGGTGGTTAAGTTTGTGTGTCAGTTTGGCTGGGCCTGGTTGAGTGGCTGGACAACTGGTGGTAGTTATTCCCCATGATGAGACTGTCAGTCAACTCCATGGTGGAATCTACCACAAGCAGCTGCCTTTGGGCATGTGGTCTGCTTCCCGTATATAAGTAGCAGCTTTGAGAATGGTCTCTAGCTTATGGCACCCTTGGACCCTGCATGTAGCTGTATCATTGTTCAGCAATCTGCCATGCTCTGCTGACCTTGGGACTTCCAATGCACTTAAATTAATGGCCTGCCGTGTGGTTTGGTAACCTCAGGACTGTGCCTTTTTATTTGTCAACCTTGGGTTTGTCAGTCTCAGTAGCCAGCAGCTGTCTGAGTGAAGAAAAGCATCTAGCTTCAGTGGGCCGGGAGCAAGAGGCAGAGCTGAAGCCCAAGGTTGAGGGGCTTTCACCAAGCCCCTAGAGTCTGGCACTTTGAATTTAGACTTAGAGCCTCCAAATTGTAAGAGAATAAACTCCTGTTTATTAAAGCCATCCCATTGGTGGTATATTCTTGTCAGAGCAGCACTAGGTAACCAGAACAGGGTGCTTTGCCCTTTGAATAACCTTGGCAATCCAAATTACTTTACTCCTTCTAGGAAATTGTAAACAAAGCAATTTCACTGAGATGGCACTCTTTTTGCTTCCCTTTTTCTTCTCTATGGTTGTGGTTAGTTACCAGTGAGTTGATGAGTTGATTCTGATTCATGGTGACCCCATGTGTGCAGAGTAGAACTGCTTCATAGGGTTTCAAGGCTGTGACCTTTTGGAAGCACACTGCCAGGCCTATCTTCCAAGGTGCCTCTGGGTGGGTTTGGACTGCTAACCTTTCAGCTAGTAGTTGAGCATTTAACCATTCGTGCCACCCCAGAATTCCTCTCAATGGTTAGTCCTTTAAAAAATAAAAATGTCTCTTGGTTATTTAAAATGTATTTTAGACTCTGACAAGATATTTTTGAGGTACCTAAAAGAAAAGGAGCTCTGGCGGCATAGTGCCTGAGGCATTTGACTGCTAACCAGAAGGTTGGTGGTTCAAAACCACCAGCCACTCCACAGAAGGAATATGGGCAATATACTTCAGTAAATATTTACCACCTTGGAAACTCAAAGGGGGTCACTATGAGTCAGAATCGACTGGATGGCAGTGAGTTTGGTTGTTTTTTTTTTGTTTGTTTTTTGTTTTGGTTTTTTGGATAAGAGAAAGGAGGCATTGGTAGTTCAGTGGTAGAATTCCCACCTTCCATATCAGAGACCCAAGTTCAATTCCCAACCAGTGTACCTCATACACAGCCACTACCATGTCGTTGGAGATTGTGTGTTGATATGATGCTGAACAGGTTTCAGCAGAGCTTCCACACTAAGACAAACTAGGAGGAAAGGCTTGGTGATCTATTTGCAAAAAGCACCCTTCTGGTTAGCAGTCAAGTGCCTTAGGCACTATGCTACCAGAGCTCCTACAACATTACATAGCAAATAAAAATCACCATGACAAGTCAAGAGAGACAAAACAGAAGAAAGGACTAATCTTTATTCCTTCCTTTTTAACAGGCAGCTCTACATTTTCATTTTTGCCTTGTTGTCGTTAGGTGCCATCGAGTCGGTTTCAACTCATAGCAACTCAATGTACAACACAACCAAACACTGCCCAGTCCCGCACCATCCTCACAATCATTGCTACGCCTGAGCTCATCATTGTAGCCACTATGTCAATATGTCTTGTTGAGGGTCTTTCTCTTTTATTGCTGCCCATCTACTTTACCAAGCATGATGTCTTTCTCTGGGGACTGGTCCTTCCTGATAAAATATTCAAAGTAAGAGAGTCAGTCTGGCCATCCTTGCTTCTAAGGAGCATTCCAGCTATACATCATCCAGGACAGATTTATTCATTCTTTTAGCAGTCCATGGTACATTCAATGTTCTTTGCCAACACTACAATTCAAATGCATCAATTCTTCTGCCATCTTCCTTATTCATTGTCCAGCTTTCACATAAATACAAGGCTATTAAAAACATCATGGCTTGACCCAGGCACACTGTGGTAGTTAAGGTTGAGTGTCAACTTGTCTGGGCTGTGGTTTGGAGTGGCTGGGCAGCTGGTTGTAGTTATTTCCCATGATGAGATTGTAATCATCTCTATGGTAGAATCCGTTGTGAGACCTTAATCAATGGAAGGGGAGTTGCCTTTAGGGTGTGGCCTGCTTCCAGTATATATGGAAAAGGTTTGAGAAAAGGCTTGAATTTTTGGCACATTTGGATCCTGCGTTTGGCTGAGTCTTTATCTCCAGTTCCTGGACTTGAACTAGTGGCCTGCCGTGTTGCCTGCTGATCTTAGGGCTGTGTCATTTTAACTGCCAACATTGGGTTCCTCAGCATCAGTAGTCATCAGCTTCCTGAGTTAGGAAATCTTTCTAGTTCCAGTGGGCCTGGAATAAGAGACAGAGCTGAAGGCCAAGGTTGAGGAGCCTTCACCCAGCCCCTGGAGCTGGCACTCTGAATTTGGACTTCTAGCCTCCTAAACTGTAAGAGAATAAATTCCCATTTGTTAAGCCATCCATTTCTGGTATATCAGTTATAGCAGTAGTAGAGAACCAAAACAAGCACTTTTGTCTTCAAACTGACATCTTTGCTCTTTAAGACTTTAAAGAGATCTTTTGCAGCAGATTTGCCCAGTACAATACGTCATTTGATTTCTTGACTACTGTTTCCACTGGTGTTGATTGTCAATCCAAGTAAAGTGAAATATTTGACAATTTCAATCTTCTTTCCATTTATTGTGATGTTAATTGGTCTAGAAGTGAGGATTTTTGTTTTCTTTATGTTGAGGTGTAATCCATACTGAAGACTGTAGTCACTGATCTTCATCAGTAAGTGTTTCAAGTCTTTCTCATGTTCAGCAAGCAAGATTGTGTCAACTGCATATCATAGGTTGTTAATGAGCCTTCTTCCAATCCTCATTCTGTGTTCTTCTACATATAGTCGAGCTTCTTGGATTATTTGCTCAGCATACAGATTGAATAAGTGTGGTGAAAGAATATAGTCCTGATGCATGCCTTTCCTAATTTTAAACCATGCAGTATCCCCTGGTTCTGTTTGAATGACTGCTTCTTGGTCTATGTACAGGTTCCTCATGAGTACAATTAAGTGTACTGGAATTCCCATTATTCCCAATGTTACCCGTAGTTTGTTATGGAAGAATTGTTTAGTGTTTCTTTTGCTTAATAAGAATTGAAGAAAAAATTCAAGCCTCAAGTAGCAATATTGAAGGATTTGATGGGTAAAATATTGAACGATGAAGGAAGCATCAAAAGAGTACAGAAGGAACTTTGCCCACAAATTATCTAACAGATTGTTCAAGGGTGTTTAACACCAGCAATATCCCCAGTATTTATTTATTCATTCAAGCTGCAAAGATTAGGACACTGTCAAGGAAGAATTTTGGTGGCTTTTAAGACTGGGACAATGAGGGCAGTGGTGGTTCAGTGGTAGAATTCTTTGCCTTCCACAGGAGAGACTTCAGTTTGATTGCTAGCCAATGCACAATGGTCCAATTCCCAAACCATCATGGGGATAGTGTGGACATTTTGTTTCATTTGCATGAGGTCCCTATGAGTCAAGGTGACTCAATGGCAACTAATAAACAATGACAAAGCTGGTGGGATAGGTTGTAGAAAGAGTTGTAGAATAGTCTCCATTCAGAGATAAGATAGAAAACTGATTATAAATCTACCTAAAAAATGAATCCAATTCAGACAACTGCCTGAAGTTGCTTCCTTCTTGTACTTGTTTTCTTTTATCTATTAACAATGGCTCCCCTGAGGAAAAGACTTGAAGATCTGCTGCTGTAAAGATTACAGCCCAGGAAATCCAATGGGACATTTCTACTCTGTTCTGCAGTTTCTCTGAGTCAGAATCGACCTGACAGCACACAACAACAAAATAACAACAATTTATCACCCACCTCCTTTCACAAAGGACTTTAGTCAGTTAAATGTCATGGAATTTTTAGCAATTGGACCATTTCCATCATTTTGGTTTCATTATCGTTCCACTGAGCCAAAAAGGAAAACTTATGGCCATCAAGTTGATTCCTACTCACAGCGACCCCCTTTGGGTTTCCAAGGCAATAAATCTTAATGGCAGCAAATTGCCCAGTCTTCCTTCCATTTAGTGGCTGGTGGGTTTGAACTGCCAGCCTTCTGGTTAGCAGTCAAATGCCTTAGGCACTACACCACCAGAGCTCCTTATCAAGCCACCAGTCAGTATTTATGTAGCATACTACATAAACTACTCCTCGGAAGGAAGATTGGTCAATCCACTTCTGTAGTGCTGCTGCCTCAGAATCCCAAGGAGGGGTCGCTATAAGTCAGATCCGACTCAACAGCAGTGAGTTTGGTTTTTTTAAATGACTGGTATAGGTTTTGTATTTTTCTTCTTTTCTTTTCCTTTTCTTTTATTGCCTTCCTTTGTTTCTTTTGTTTAACATGCACAGATGAGGGAGGAGCACTGTGTTGTACATAATGGGCTTTCTTTGACTATTTTCCAGAGTGGAAATAGAATTCTGTGTTCCATCATCCTGAGCCACCACCAAGGTCCTTCTATTATCAACTATGACGATGAGAGCGGGAAGACCTGTGTTCACATTGCTGCAGCAGCAGGTTTTGGGGACATCATTCACGAACTGGCCAGAGTCCCTGAGTGTAACCTGCAGGCTCTGGATGTTGATGACAGGTATCCGTGGCAACTCAGAAAGTACTGGAAACTACCAGTGATCTCCAAATTTTAATCTTAAAATAAAGATGTTTAAGGCGTGAGCCCATGTAACTATATCTTCAATGCCAGTAATATTAACCACATGGGCTTATGACAATAAAAACTGCACTGTTTTATTCAGGGCAGGAAAAGTCATTGTTAGGAAGAAAAACATTGTGACTCTACAGGACTGTCAGATTTTCCACTTTCTGCAAAACATTCTGAATGTTCTCAGGGACTTTCTCTATACCAGCCTCCTACTATATGCACTTTTGTTCTCAACAGTAGGTTTTATTTTTTTCTTCATTCTTAGATTATGTCCTAACGTCAACAAGTTCTTGTTATCCAGAGAAGAGCATAATAGAGGCTTTGTATTCCGAACTATTGGGCTTAGAGAACTAGAAGGGCCCTTATCAGTTTTTATTTCTCAATCACTAAAAATTTATTGACATAAAAAAGGCAACTGGGTGTCAAAATGTGAAAAGATCTACCTCAGAGCTCATTATCAGCTCTTTCCTTTTAGAGCTTCTCACCTACAGTGCCCTGCTTAGCTAACCTGTGTTTTGGTTAGGCATTGATTCAATGGCAATATAAGAATAAAATAACAACAGACAAGACCCATGGGAAATAAGTATAAGGCTTACCCACACTATGTAATATATTTCCTTACATTTTCCTATTAAAGTGCAAAATTAACCACCTACTTATCATAATTTTGGAGTCTCTGGGATTGCCTAGAGTCAGAATCAACTCAACTGCAACAAATTTGTTTGTTTATTTTGTTTGTTTGTTTGTTGGGTAGTCAAACTGTCAATGCACTTGGCTGCTAAGCAAAAGATGGATAGCTCTAGTCCACCAACAGCTGCCACAGAAGAAAGGTCTAATAATCTACATCTGAAAAATAAGTCATTTAAAACCCTACAGAGAAAAAAAAAAAAAAAATTAAGCCCTATTTTGGTTCTCTAGTGCCACTCTCACAGAAAATACCACAACTGGGTGGCTTCAACAAACAGGGAGTTGTTGTTGTTAGGTGCCATCAAGTTACTTCTGACTCATAGTGACCCCATGCACAGCAGAACAAAACAGCGCCCGATCCCACACCAGCTCTATGATCCCTGCTATACTTGAGCCCATTGTCACAGCCACCTTGTCAACGCATCTCATCAATGGCCTTCCCCTCCTTTGTCAACCCTCCACCTTACCAAGCATGACATGCTTCTCCAGGGAATGGTCCCCTCTGACAACATGACCAAAGTAGGTGAGACTAAGTCTTGCCATCCTCGCTTCCAAGGAGCAAGCATCTCAGCTGCACTTCCTCCAGGACAGATCTGTTAGTTCTTTTGGCAGTCCATGGTACCTTCAGCATTCTTCACCAGCACCACAACTCAAAAGCATCAACTCTTCTTTGGTCTTCCTTATTCATTGTCCAGTTCTCACATGCATACGAGATGATTGGAAATATGGCTTCTGTCAGGCGCACCTTAGTCCTCAAGGAGACATCCTTGCTCCTCAACACTTGAAACAGTTCCTTTGCAGCCGACCTACCCAGTGCTACACGTCATCTAATGTCCTGACTGCTGCTTCCATTGGCATCGATTGTAGAGCCAAGCAATGTGAATTCTTTGACAACCTCAATCTTTTCTCCATTTATCGTGATGCTGCTTATTGGTCCAGTTGTGAGGATTTTTGTCTTCATTATATTGAGATGTAATCCAAACTGCAGACTGTGTTCCTCAGTCTTCATCAGTAAGTGCCTCGAGTCATCCTCACTTTCAGCAAGCAAAGTTGTGTCATCAGCGTATCTCAAGTTGTTAATGATTCTTCCTCCAATCCTGATGCCATGTTTTTCTTCATATAGTCCAGCTTCTCAGATTATTTGCTCAGCATATAGATTGAATAAGTATGGGGAAAGGATACAACCCTGATGCACTCCCTTCCTGATTTTAAACCATGCAGTGTCCCCTTGTTCCGTTCAAACAACAGCCTCCTGGTCAAGATACAGGTTCCTCATGAGTACAATCAAATATTGGGGAATTCCCATTCTTCTCAATGTTATCCATAATTTGTCATGATCCACAAAATCAAATGCCTTTGCATAGTGAATAAAACAAAAGTAAACATCTTTCTGGTATCCTTTATCTTGGGCCAACACCCATCTGACAACAGCTATGATATCCCTTGTTCCACATCCTCTTCTGAATCCAGCTTGCACCTCTGGAAGTTCTCTGTCAATATACTGCTGCAATCTTTTTTGAATTATCTTCAGTAAGATCTTACTTGAGTGCGATATTAATGATATTGTTTGATAATTTCTACTTTCTGTGGGATCACCTTTCTTTGGAATGGATACAAATATGTATCTCTTCCAGTCAGTTGGCCAGGTAGCTGTCTTCCAAATCTCTTGGCATAACCAAGTGAGTGCCTCTAATGGGGCATCCATTTGTTGAAATATCTTAATGGGTATTCCGTCAATTCCCAGAGCCTTGTTCTTTGCCAATTCCTTCATTGCAGCTTTGACTTCCTCCTTCAGTACCACTGGTTCTAGATCATATGCCACCTCCTGAAATGGATGAAGATCAACCAGTTTTTTTTGTACAGTGATTCTGTATATTCCTGCCATCTTCTTTTGGTGTCACCAAGACCAAATTTTCCAACTAGTGGTGCTTCTTGTTTGTTTCCAACTTTTGCATTCGCGTCACCAGTGATAATTAACACATCCTGATTGCAAGTTTGGTCAATTTCAGACTGCAGAAGTTGATAAAAGTCTTCAATTTCCTCATCTTTGGCTTTGGTGGTTGGGGCATAAATTTGAATAATAGTCATATTAACAGGTTTTCCTTGTAGGCGTATGGATATTATCCTATCACTGACAGCATTGTACTTCAGGACAGATATTGAAACATCCTTTGTGATGATGAATGTCACACCATTCCTCTTTAAACTGTCGTTCCTGGCATATTGTTGTCTGATTCAAAATGGCCAAAACCAGTCCATTTTTTCAGCTCACTAATGCCTAGCATATCAATCTTTATGTGTTCCATTTCATTTTTGACAACTTCCAATTTTCCTAGATTCATACTTCATACATTCCATGTTCTGATTATTAATGGATGTTTGCAGCTGTTTCTCCTCAATTTGAGTGGTGCCATGTCAGCAAATGGAGGTCTTGAAAGCTTTACCTTATCCATATGAGTAAGGCTGATTTTACTCTGATAATGCATCTCTTTCCCAGTGCTACTTTGAGAGCTTTCTAAGCTAAGTGACTCATCTTCCTCCTCTGTATTGGACAATGTTTCCAGACTATTCATAAAGTTGCGCAGTAATGTATCAGACAGTGTTTCTCTGCTATTCATAAGATTTTCCTTGGCCAATTCTTTGAGAATTGGATGGCCTCCTCCTTCTTCCTAGTCTGTCCCAGTCTGTAAGCCAGGCTGATACCTGTGCAACAGGTGCACCCCACTGGTTTGAAACACCAGTAGCACAGCCTCAAGACTCACAGGGAGTTATTCTCTTACAATTCTGGAGGCTAGAAGTCCAAGTTCAAAATGCCAGCTCTAGGGGCTGGGTAAAGGCACCTAGACTTATGCTTCAGTTTTGCCTCTTGCTGGAAGAGAAGCTGGAGGTTTCTCTTAACCAAGGCAGCTGATGGCTGCTGATATTGACAAACCCAAGGTAGACAAATAAAATGGCACTGTCTCAAGATTATCAAGCAACACAGCAGGTAACTAGTGAAACAGTCTCAAGATCAGCAGACAACATGCTAGACCACTGATGACTCAGCCAAATGTAAGATCCAGATGTGCCAAGAGGCTAAAAACCTTTCTAAAAACTTCTGCTTACATACTGGAAACAGATTATATCCCTAAAACAGCTACTTAGCTGCTCACAGTAGATTGCCCCATGGAATTCTCATCTCGAGAAATAACTACATCCAGCTGCCAAACCACACAAAACCAGGCCCAGCCACGTTGACACACAACTTTGACTATCACAAACCCTGTGGAACACAGTTCTACACTGACACATATGGGTCTCCATGGGTTGGAATCAACTTGATTTTTATAATGATTTTAGATGTTCAAAGAAAGCCTTCCCCCTGATGCCTGAAATCTTTTTAACATAGTATAACAAAACAAAAATTCTTTGATTTTGTATAAGTATCTGAAGCTGGAAATGGTTAGCTCAAAATGCCTTAACATTAAGGTATAAATTATTGAAAGTAGACCTTTTCCTAAGAGCAAGTACCTAATCCAAAGCAGGCATGAAAGTGGAAGAACTTTAATCACATGAGGAGAAAAGATAAATAATCCGTGAGGAGAAGAACAAAATAAGTTTAATCGTGCTTACTTCAACATACTCCTAGAACCCAGCTCTAAATAGATTATTCCCCATGTTGCCTTACCATACACTTAACAAAGAAAATCCAGTCCCCAGGTCTCAAGGAAGAAAGTCAAACTAAGGGGAGAAACAAATAATCAAAAGACAAAAATGCCTCCTGTAAGAGTTCAAATGAGAAGTAAAATCTCAAGGAAAATAGTTTCTACTCCAATACTCAAGTCAGGTGTCACTTGTGTGGATCAAATCCCACCCCATTTTGTTTGACATTTTCTGCATTGTGCAGCTATGACTTCATGTTAAAACTGTAAGCTTGTGTGAGTGGTAGAGTTTTTAAAAATGTTCATAGGTTTAAATGCTTTACACATTTGCAATCATTGTGACATTCCTTCCTCCTTCTCTTTCCTTGTGGAAAAGAAATAAAAATAAAATAGTGATAGAACAGAGGTAGAGGGAAAACATGACAAAGCGAGCCTTTCTAGATGCTAAAACATATCATAAATCTATAATATTTAAAACATTGTGGTACTAGCATGAAATTAATGCCACAGAATGCATAACCCAGAAGTAGCTGAGTAGCTTAAATATTTCAATCTTCATCAGTCTATGAGGTCTTCAAAAAAAAAGAAACTCACTGCTATCAA